CTCCCTCCGTCCTTCCCATCCTCCCTCATTCCATTCTTCTCTTCCTCCTTTCCTCCTCCTTTTCCCCCCTCCATCCTCCTCCCTCTGTCTTCCTCCTTTTCTTCCATTCTCCTCCTCCTCCCTTCATCTTCCTCCTCTTCTCCCTCCCTTCCCTCCCTCCTCCTTTTCCTCCCTCCGTCCTCCTCTTCCTCCTTCTCTCCTCCTCTTCTTCCTTCCATCCTCCTTTCCTTCCTCCCTCCCCCTTCCCTTCCTCCTATCTTCCTCCTCTTCCTCCTTCCATCCTCCTGCTCCATCTTCCTCCTCTTCTTCCTTCCACCCTCTTTCCTTCCTCCCTCCTTCCTCCTTTTCCTCCCTTCATCCTCCTCTTCCCCCTTCCCTCCTCCTCCTCTTCCTTGCTCCATTCTCCTCTCTCCACCTTACCATCCTTTCCCCTGTCCTTCCTCCTCCTTCCCCTGCTCCACAGCTCTGCCCCCAAAAGGGACCCAGCGCCTCTGGGGTGCCCCCACCCTGGCAGAGCACCCCCCTGGGTGCTGGGGGTGCCTCCCTGGGGGCTCCTGGCCGCAGCCCCCAGCACCCAGCAGCAGACAGATGTGGGATGAACAGATGGACAGTCCAGGCCGAGGTGGTGTTGGGGAGGCATTGAGGTGGGAGAGGCAGTTAATGAGGCTGATTCCAGGGGGTGCCTCCCTGGGGGCTCCTGGCCACAGGCCCCAGCAGCAGGGAGGCATGGGATGGACAGACAGACAGCCCAGGCCGAGGTGGTGGTGGGGAGGCATTGAGGTGGGAGAGGCACTTAATGAGGCTGATTCCCAATTTTCCAGGGTCTCCTGGGGCTCTGCAGGCACCACTCAGCCCTGGAGCAGCAGGAGAGTGGCTGGACGTTGGAATGGTTTGGAAAGTCACCCGGGGGTGAGGGGGCCCAGCCTCTCTGTGTCTCTGCATCCCTGGGTGCTTCGAGCATCCTCAGCCCATGGTGCCCATGCCCACTCCAGCATCCTGCTGGCTCTGAGGGTGCTGCTCCCCCCTGAGCCTGGGGCATGGCAGGGCTCCAGGAGACAGGCTCCGGGGGGAAGGGGGCTTCTTGGGGGGCTGCAGGGATGGACCCACTATCCTGTGGTGCCACAGGTCGTTTGAGGCTCTCCTAAGAAGCCGAAATGCCAGGTGGGTGCAGCAGGGGAGGACTCACCCCCTCCGAGTGGATGGGTGGAGATCCCAAATTGCCTGGTGCTGCAGCACTGCCAGAACCCCCCCTCGTGCTTCCCAGCACCCAAACCCACGTCCCTTGGGCTTAGAAACCAAAACCTTGGGTTTAGAAACCACTTTCTTTCTATTTTTATCCCCCCTCCCCAGCAGAAGTCTTTGAATCCCAGATTGGTGATTTCCCACAAGGGCTGCTCAGCGTTTCCCAGCCTCCTGCAGACCCGAGGGCTGGTGGTGTGGAGAGGGGCTGGGAGGACCCTCCGTGGGGTGGGTGCTCACCCAGCTGGGCCAGGAGGACCCTCCATGGGGTGGTAGCATGAGCTGGCTACAGGGAGGGCACAGGAAGGGGATGAGGACCTCAAAACCTCCAGGGATGCAGCGAGGACTGCCCTGCACCCCCAGACCTCACTGGGTGGGGGGTGGTCCCACAGTCCCAGCTTTCGGATGGCTGGAAGTGGCCAGCAGCATCACAAGGGCCAAGGTGCCACACAGGTGACCACACCTAGGGGCTACTTGACCAAAATGGCCAAAATTTTGGCGTGAGAGGAAGCCAAAAGCCCAGGAATGCTGGTTGTGGGTTAGGGAGATGCGTTGACATGGTCTGGGTTGGGTGCAGTCCACTCGGAGCATCCTTGGGTTGGAAAAGGCCATTTTCTGTCCACCTCCTCAGCCGAGAACCCGAGCTCTAGGGCTGAGCCTCCTCCTCCTCTGCTCCCCTCCCGCAGGACCGAGACTTCATCATGACCTTCAATACCTCACTGCACCGCTCGTGGTGGATGGAGAACGGGCCGGGCTGCCTGGTGACGCCGGTGCTCAACTCCGACCTGGCGCCCGAGGACCACCACGTCATCACCGTCAGCGGCTGCCTGCTCGACTACCAGTACATCGAGGTGGTCAGCAGTGCCACGCAGATATTCCTGGCGGTACGGGCGGCTGCAGGCTCCTCCCCTCTTCCTCCTCCTCCTCCTCCTGCTCCTCCTCCCCCTCCTCCCAAACCATCAAGCGAGAGAGGCAGGGACCAGGGTGGGCGCAGCCCCTGTGGTCCAGCTGGAGATCCCCCCCGTGCCACCACCCCTCGGTGCCTGTTTAGAGCATCAAAAGATGCTCTGGGAGGAGAGGAGCAACTGGAGCCCATGGAGCACCCCGGGGTGCTGCCCACCCCAAATCCTGGCAGGCGAGGGGCTGGATGCTGCAGGAATCAGGGACCTCCTGGCGTGAGGCACCAGGAGGTGTTGCTGGAGCCGGGGCTGGTGGGATGTGCCACTTGCTGGGAAGGGCCCTTCCCGGTGGCTTCTCACCTCCTGGGGACATAGGACACGGCCACGGCTGGGTGTGTCCCGGGGAGCCTTGGGGGGCTGCAGGAAAGTGAAGCTTTAAAGGGAATTGGGGTGCAGAGCAGCTGCCGTGCACCCCACAAAGG